ATACAGATACAGATACAGATACAGATACAGATACAGATACAGATACAGATACAGATACAGATACAGATACAGATACAGATACAGATACAGATACAGATACAGATACAGATACAGATACAGATACAGATACAGATACAGATACAGATACAGATACAGATACAGATACAGATACAGATACAGATACAGATACAGATACAGATACAGATACAGATACAGATACAGATACAGATACAGATACAGATACAGATACAGATACAGATACAGATACAGATACAGATACAGATACAGATACAGATACAGATACAGATACAGATACAGATACAGATACAGATACAGATACAGATACAGATACAGATACAGATACAGATACAGATACAGATACAGATACAGATACAGATACAGATACAGATACAGATACAGATACAGATACAGATACAGATACAGATACAGATACAGATACAGATACAGATACAGATACAGATACAGATACAGATACAGATACAGATACAGATACAGATACAGATACAGATACAGATACAGATACAGATACAGATACAGATACAGATACAGATACAGATACAGATACAGATACAGATACAGATACAGATACAGATACAGATACAGATACAGATACAGATACAGATACAGATACAGATACAGATACAGATACAGATACAGATACAGATACAGATACAGATACAGATACAGATACAGATACAGATACAGATACAGATACAGATACAGATACAGATACAGATACAGATACAGATACAGATACAGATACATTTCTTCATAGTATTTTCGCTCAGTGTATTGTCTGGGCTGTCCGGCACAGCAGCTGTTAACCACGTAACTTGGCACTGATAGTTGGCCATGTGTGAGCTGATGGTGAGGGAGGGAGGGGTCGGAGCAGATGGGCACTGGCCGCAAGTCAGCTGCACGTAGCACAGCGCCCAGTCCTCCCGCCTATAGCCACCCATGGCCACCCATGGCCACCCTGTCCATTTTCACCTGACCAACTGGCATTAAAATTGCATGAACTTGAAGTTGATTTGAATGTGGCGAGCGTTCAGCTGCCAAGTGGGTCACATAGGCGCGTGTCTGTAGTTGTCTGTGGTTCTCTCTCTGCTTGTGTATGTGTGTGTGTGTGTATGTTGAAATATATATCAGGTAGGACGCGCCGCACATGCTCGAATTCCCAAACTTGTTGTGCCGCTTGTCACGGCCAGCATAAATTCCTAGCAAATACAACTCCCCAAAGGATGAAGGATGAAGGCAGCGCATTGATAAGTTCAGCTAGGCGAAATTGTAACGGTTCTTTTAGCTGCTCTTCTACTTCTTAGCCTCTGCCACTCTTCTTGTTTGCAGTCATAATTTCCACCACTTTGAGCTCACCTAGTTGCAACCCCGCGTGCCGTGGAAATCAACGCCGCGGCAGATGTGCGCGACAGGACACGCTCGAAGGCTCACAGGACATGCCAGAGAGTGTGTGTGCGGGTCGCTGCCTATTGCGCTCACTCTCCCTCTCTCTCTCTCTCTCCTCTCTCTCTCTCCGATCAACCCTACAGCTAGCATTTTATGCTTGTTTAATTACAGAAACTTCCTACCAAAATTCATATTGTAATCATTTTCAAGGGCTCTCACTCTCTCCCTCTCCCCCTATGTTGTTGCAGTTGTAGTTGCAGTTGTGGTTGTTGTTGTTGTAATTATTCTATTTTTGGGTTTTTTTTGGTACAGCCATCGAGCTTATGTTTTTCTCTGTTGCTTACAATATTTCATATGTTACGGAAATCCTTGATGAAACTTTAAAGTGTTTTCTCTCGCATGTTGGTTCATGTCGTCCAAAGCGAGCATATTCGTTCCGATGTTCATCTATTCTATTCTTATTTCTGTATATTTATGTATTGACTGTACAATTCTAGCATTCCTTGATAAATAGTTAGAGCAATTATTGATAAATATTATTGTTAATATTTTAAATTTTCATAAAATTGTAAAAAAGGATGTTCATCAGGAGTTCAAGTCAAGGTCTCATGAGCAGGCATTGCCCAGTCGATTAAGCTCAAATTCCAAGTTCTGAGCTAGTTTTTCTTCTTTTTTTTTTTTTTTTTTTTTTTTTTTTTTTTTTTTGTACGCATTAATTTTGTATTTTTGTTGTTGCCTTTTGTTTGCATTTTGAGCAAATATTTGTTGCATATACCACACACACGCATACGCACACATCAAGCAAAAATGTTATTTGTTATGTGTATTTTTTTTTATACAATTTTTGTGGCCTCCTGCACTCGGAAAAACAACACATAGAAAAACTTTTATGTAAATTTAATATAGTAGAAGGAAGTAGAGGTGATTCAAGAGTACAGATAAATTATTGGATAATTAAAGGAACTTTTATTAAATTTAAGAGTATTAGGAAATAGGAAAAAATAAATATATAAATAAAATAATATATTGTATTAAATGAATGAATGAAAATTTGTAAATACCTATTAAAATAAAAAAAAAAAAAAAAAAAAAAATTGTTAAGCGAATTGAATGTTTATATCATTGAAAATATTACAAATTATTCGTAAATTTTTATTCAAGGTATTTACATAATTTTATTTAATTTAATTTTATAGTCAAGCCTCAAAGCATGAGCTAATAGATATTTAAATAGCATATTTAAGTATAATTATTATAATTAAATAATAATAATTATTATTAATATTATTATTATTATTACTATTATTATAAATAATATTAATATAATTAATTAATAGCATCTCGCAGATATTCAAATTTAATGGCTTTATTCAAATTGATAATTCATTTCTTTTTAGCCTGTCATTACTGTATTTGCTACAATAAAGGATGTGACTTTTCCGCCTGCTGTGTTGCGGCATAAATAATTAAATTTCATTTCCTGGTTTACTTCTGCACTTTGGCAAAACAAAATTCGAAGAATTTTGCAAAAAAAAGAAAAGTAGAAAAACGTCACAAAAATGTTGGCTTTGATTTTGCCAGTCAAACTGTTGCACAAGAATAGAGAGAGAGAGAAAGAGAAAGTTGTGAGATAGATAGAGTGAGTGAAAAAGAGATGGTGGGAGGAGAGGAGAAGCAAAGTAGCTTCACTTTGTGGCATGAAAAGTAATGCAATTCGTTGAATTTCAATCGAAGTGCTTTGACATGGCATTCGAAATATTACTGTGAATTTAAAAGCAAAATGCCAAGCATTTTACATATATATGTATGTAGTATGGCTTGCAACGGTAAATTGCATTTGAATAATGGCATAACAGTTTTTATTGCGGTAAATCGGTTTTTATTTTGCAATCAGGCCTCGATTCAATAAATATTGCCAGAGCAGGCCGAAGCGAATGCAGCCACAGACAAGCCATTTGGTTAGCCTTTTTTAGAGTTTAGCTAAAACGACAAAACGATTTAGGTAGAGAGAAGGTAGATTGATTGATTATGGAGGAGTTTGTAGGTGAGTCTTAAATATTTTACATTTTGGGCAACCCTAGCAGAATTCAAGATCTTTAACAGTTAGATAACATTGGGCTTACAGTAAAGGCCTCTTCTTCTTCTCTCACAGTAAAAATAAACTTCAAATGATATCCTTTATTATGTACAGGATAACTGCTAGTCAAGCGTATTTCACTCTCTTTTTTCTTCACTCAACCAAAGTAAAAATTTTTGCTTGCAGTTGAAGAAAATATTCGAATAGTTTTTAAGCAAGTCCCTGAGTGGGTAAAGGCAAAGGCTGAGACGATTCTCAAATAGTCTAAATGGGCTAAAAATTATTGAAATTCTTCCTTTTGCTCGAGCTGAGGCTTAGTGTTCATGTGTTCGATTCACATTGTCCATGCAAATCCCAGACAGAGAACATTTACACCTTCGGGTGCAGTTGGCAAAGCCCCGGGGATAATCCGCATTAGTTGCACAATGCTTTCGGTTTTTGGGCCAGCAGCATATTGGGCCGGGCTTAGTTAACTGAGTTTTAGTGCTTGTCGCCAGTCGGTTGGCCAGGACATGGAGCTACGCAAATTGAATCGTGTTTTGGCCAGCATTTCATTTGGCATTTGGCATTTGTCAAATGTCCAAATGTTAGCCTCAATGGACGGCTGTGCGACAGGGCGTGTCGCATGCCATATATACAATAAAATATGTATTGCATATTGCAATTTTAATTTCTCAATTCATTTTGCTGGCCTGCACACGCTTCTTTTACGACTCTTGTTGTTTTTTTTTCCTGCCTTCGCACTTGCAGTGGGCAATAGTGGGCGCTGCCCTCCCCCGCCCGGCCACAGGAGGGCCACAAATAACAAATTGCTTGTCATTGGCATCGTTGTTGGCCAACAGCAGCAGCAGCAGCAGCAGCAGCAGCAATTGCAGTCAGTCAGTTAGCCGAGCAGGCCAGGACAGGACAGGACAGGCCTGGACAGGCGAGGTCAGCACAGGCCAGACTAGGCAAGCAGGCTAGTCAAACGTTTCGAGCTGTGGGGTCATTGCATTTACAATTTCAATCTCTATTAAAATTCATTGAATCCCTGGCATTAGTTTGCGCTCACAGTGTGACAAAGTCTATGCTAATGGCAAGCAATTTGCCAGCGGGTGGTAAAAAGCAAATGGAATGTGAATTGATTCATTATAGACATGTAATTTCTATACAGATCGTGTCAAGTCATCACAGTCTACTCTAGATACTGATCGTGGTGATATGCTATATGATACACAAGTCAATATACTCTTAGTCAGTTCTACTTAACTGTCCAAGTCTATATGAAAAGATCTTCCCTTTAGGCAAATATTCTACCTCTGAATGAGACGGATATTCAACAATAGATCCATTCATAAGGTGCTAAGCAATCGATACTTGCATAGCTCAAAAGATCTTTGTCCAGGCACGACAATTGTCAACAATGTTTCCGCTCTCTAAAGGTCTTTCAACAGACGATCCTCACGTATACCCCTTAAGATTCCTTTCAACAGTTCTTCGCATTGAATAGACCTACAAATAGATAGAGCAGTTCAGCTCCTTACTTAATCTAAATATATATTCATATCATATATCATATATCTAGTACATAATGCTATTCTGCAACGATGCCCAAGTTCTTGATCTAAAGGTCTTTCAGCAGACCATCCTCACACATGCAGCTCTGTTATTCAGGCCTTACCCCTTAAGGTTCCTTTCGACAGTTCTTCGCATTGAATAGACCTACAAATAGATAGAGCAGTTCAGCTCCTTACTTAATCTAAATATATATTCATATCATATATCATATATCTAGTACATAATGCTATTCTGCAACGATGCCCAAGTTCTTGATCTAAAGGTCTTTCAGCAGACCATCCTCACATATGCAGCTCTGTTATTCAGGCCTTACCCCTTAAGATTCCTTTCAACAGTTCTTCGCATTGAATAGACCTACAAATAGATAGAGCAGTTCAGCTCCTTACTTAATCTAAATATATATTCATATCATATATCATATATCTAGTACATAATGCTATTCCGCAACGATGCCCAAGTTCTTGATCATTTGGGGCACCTTGCGACGCTGCAGCTTGTCATTGGATGTCTTGGGCAGTGAATCGACAAAGAAAATGCCGCCGCGTATGTGATAGGCCGAGCTTAGGTATCGCTCCACAATATTTCGCACTTGATCCGCTGTCAGTTTCCTGCCCTCCTCGTCGTCGGTGCGCACCACGGCGCAGGCTGTCAGATTGGTGGAGACCTCGTCGGGCACGCCGAAGACGCAGGCCTCGCTCACGCCGGGCAGGCGCAGAATGAACTCCTCGATCTGCTCCGGATAGATCTGAAAGTTGTTGTACTTGAAGACATCGGTGTCGCGCGTCAGTATGTAGAGATAGCCCTCGCTATCCAGATAGCCAATGTCTCCCGTTCTCAGCCACTGGCCATCGGGACTGAGCGCGCGCTTGGTGGCCTCCGGGTTGCGGTAGTAGCCCGCCCATTTGTAGCGCAAGTGGCCGTAGATGATGCCCACTTCATTGATGCCGAGCGGCATGCGCAGCTTGTCCAGCACGCGCAGCTCCACGTTGCGCATGACCTTGCCCTCGCTGCCCAGAGGACCGCCTAGGTTCTTGCTGATGCCGCCCATCTCGGAGAGACCGTAGCCCACCACGAAGCGCATGTTGCCAATCAGGTCGTACATGCGCTGGGAGACGGCCTTGCACACCTTGGAGCCAGCCCCAATCAATACCTTAACGGACTCCAATTTCGCTCGGATCTTGGACTCGTCAATCTGGCACTTGGAGAGCAGCGCTATTTGATGGGAGGCGAGGAAGAGGAAGGTCACCTGATGCCTTTGCACAATCTCCAGCAGGTACTCCACAGTGTATGGGCGATGTGTGATGATGCGCTTGCAGCCGTTGAGTAGATTGGCCAGCAGCATGTAGGTGCCGGAGATCCAGTAGAGCGGGCTGAACGAGAGTACGACTGTGTCGCGGGTGTAGGTATTAGGGCTGCCAGAGGGAAAAATAGAGGTGAATGAACTCGTCTTCAGTTGAGCTTAAATACTTTTTCACTAACTTCTTGCAGTTGCAAATGAGACTGCGATGCGAGCGAGTCACGCCCTTTGGCATGCCCGTCGTGCCCGAGGAGCAGACAATGAAGGCCGTGTGATCGCCATTCAGCGTGGGGCAGGGCACGTAGCTAAGGATGAGAGGAAGAACCCATTGAGCTACTTTTACTCGAAGGTTTTGTATAAAGACTTACGCAGCTGGCGCTATGGATTCGTCTTCCTTCAGAAGATCCCACACATCAGACACGCCCTCGATTTTACCGTTCACCAGATAGATCTTAGCTGGCTTAGCCAAGTTCTCATTGACCGCTTTAATAATCTCATAGTTCTCCACATCGCAAAAGATTAGCTTCGGCTCTGTGATGTCAAACATGTACTTGACGGTTTCTATGAAGGCAAAACTTGAGTGACTTATCGAGGGATTTTTTCAAATGATACGATCTTACCTTGATCAAAATCTGGATGCAGTGGGTTAATGGGCGTACCACACAGCATGGCGGCTATGGTGACGCCCGTTAGATAAGTCGTATTATTGGCTGCAATGCCAATGACATCTCCAACTTGCAGGCCCATCTGTCGGAAGGCCCTCTCGATGGTCAGGCCCTGTTGTGCTAGCTGTCTGCCCGTTAGCTGCACGTTCGTTATATCACAGTGCTGTAGGATCTTATCCGCATTCAGATTGAGCACACGCATCGTCACTTCGCCGAGGGTCATTTCGGGGCCATAGAACTCCTTGCCTCGCGGCCCCAGCCAAGTGCGAGTCGCTGCATCGTAGTGGACCTCACAGGAGCCCATCTTGATGACTGTGAATTGAATCTACAACTAAGTGATTTATTGCGTCTCGGTATTGTTTTTATATACGCTTCAAGTCGTAAATAGGAAACATATCTCAAGGTGCTAATTGATTCCCCACGTTTCCAGACAGATTTCACAACTTTTGTCTTAATCATTATTGTTGTCAACTAAAAGGTGTGTTTAAATAGATGCTGATTTAGGCTTGAGCTGATACCAATACAGTTGCTCGACTGAGGAAGCAGTTGGAAACGTTTCCATTAAAACAATTCTCATGACTCATCAATTAATGCAATTAACTGGTTCAACGGAGAAGTCGCAGAACCCGACGTTCTAAACATGGAAGCATGAAATGTATCTTATTAGTATATGTACACGCTCATGCATGCATCTCATGCGGTAGTTCTTTAGCAAGTCTAGAAAGTCTATGTCTAATAGACGTCTACACATTATTTGATCAAAGAACTTAAATGCGTTCTATGGCATTGTATTATGTGGTAGAACTCCTATGAAATCCCTAGGAACATCAAACTCTGGATATTGTAACATTTACCAGGAAGTTGTGTCTTTTTAGAGAGTTCAAATAAAGTTCTTAAGCCCTAGCCTTATCTTCCTGTGATGCTTCGTAATTTATAGTGTCAAGGGAATTTTGAAAAGTATCATAATTCTCAGTATATTAGATTTGAATCGAAGAGATCGGTGAGTTTCTAAGGGTGATTAGCTGTGGAGGACTTCCATAGCTGACTAGCTATCCATGGGATCTCTCCGATCTCTAATACTACTTAGGAATTTCTCTCCCCTGAATACCCAATTCGAAATACTATCATTAAATATATAATTTCATTATCTTATAGTTCATTCTTTATTGACAATTGTATTCTTTATAGGGCCGTAATGCCACATTTCTGCTTAAGCTCTTCTAGAATGCGACGTCTTTGTATTTTGTTGTTCGTCGTCTTGGGCAGCTGGTCCACAAAGTAAACGCCGCCTTTTAGGTGATAGGCCTCACTCAGATGCTCTGCGACAATTGCCTTGATCTGCTCCGCGGTTAGCTTTTGGCCCTCTTCGTTCTGTTCTCGCACCACAGCGCAGGCAGTCAGATTTGTGGACACATCGTCGGGTACACCGAAGATGCCAACCTCATGGACACCAGGCAGGTGCTGTATGATATCCTCGATTTGCTTGGGGTAGACAGGAAAGTGATTGTACTTGAAGACATCGGTGTCCCGGGTCTGGAAGTGCAGGCAGCCCTCGTCATCGAAGTAGCCATGATCGCCAGTCAGCAACCATTTGCCATCGGGAGTAACCGTTGTCTGGGTCTCCTGCGGATTGTGGTAGTAGCCGCCCCAGCGCTGATTCAGTTTGATGTGAATGTGGCCTGTATGATTGGGACCCAGGGCGTTGCCCCTCTCATCCAAAATGCGCACTTGGATGTTACGCAAGAGCTTGCCCTCGCAGCCCACCGGGCCGCCAATATTCTTGCTAACGCCGCCAACCTCCGACAGGCCATAGAGCACCGAGAATCTGTTGCTGCCGAGTAGTTCATACAGTCGGTTCCAAATGGTAAGTGGAAGCTTGGATCCACTGCAGACGAACGATTGCACCGACGCCAGCTTCTCCACCAGATCCGTGCGTGGGCTCTTAGCCAGAAGCGCCATGTGGTGTGGCACGGTGATCACGAAGGTGACCTGGTGACGTGACACGACCTCGGCAAAGTATTCAACGCTGAAGGGCTTGTTCGTTATTATGCGCTTGCAGCCATTGACCAGCGAGACGAGCAGAGTGAAAATGCAGGAGACCCAGTACAAAGGACTAATGCAGAATATCACAGTCTTCGCGGTAAACAGTTGAGGGCTAAATAAAGAGAGAGAGAAACAGGGAGAGAGAAAGAGAGAGCGATGTAGAGATGTTAGCTATGGACAGATCCTACTGCCCAGTGAGTGGGAAGTGGATCAAGGGAGAGATGTAAGGGGGTAAAGAGAAGTAGCTTACTCCCTATTAACATTTCAAGTATGTATTATGTCGCAAGGAGAAGAGAGAGAGAGAGACAAGGGTTAGACGCAGTCAGACAGGGACCTTAACCTCTACTCACATTTTGGTATTGTTTAGCAGACTGCGATGCGAGCGCGTGACGCCCTTTGGCAAACCGGTTACACCCGAGGAGCTGATGATGAAGGCCGTGTCATCGCCACAGAGATGTGGACAGGCAAAGCTGTAAGGAAATACTAGAGCATGTTCTAACTTAAGGTGAGGCTCTACCTACAGCGTCTTGGGATCGTAGCCTTCGGCGCCATCCTTTAGCAGATCTTCTATATTACGCACTCCGGGCAGCTTGCCACTGAGCAAAATGAGCTCCGTTTTGAATTTTAAGCTTTCCTTAACCGCCGCCAAGGTCTCGTAGTTATCTACGTCGCAGAAAATGACCTTGGGCTTGGTTATTTCGTACATATAGGCAACTGTTTCTGTAAGGCACGAATGTGAAGTCGATGGAGGTAAAGCCTTGTTTGAGTCCCACTCACCCTTATCAAAATCCGGATGGAGAGGATTGATGGGCGTGCCGCTTAGTAGAGCTGCAATGACCACCTCTGTGAGGTAAGTGGTGTTCTTGGCGGAAATGCCAACCACATCGCCCCGATGCAGATTCAAGTGCTGAAAGGCGTGAGCTAAGCGACGACTTTGCTCATAGAGCTGAGCTCCGGTCAGAGTCTCGCCCGTCGGATCAAAGACCTGCATCACAGTGTCCGCATGCAGCTTGAGTATGAGCAGAGCTACCTCGCCCAGCGTCATGTCGGGTCCATAGTACTCCTTGTCTTTGGGACCCGACCAGATCTTCTCAATGCTATCGTAGCTAGTGGATGCCATTTCTAACTCCAACTTCAAAACACAAGCCAAACAACTGAGCCGTTAGATGTTTATGTGGCCTATATATAGTCGACCATAGCATCTATCTACTGTCGCCGTCGTCGTAACTAGAATTAAAATCTGCTAATTAGTTCCACACGTTTGCTGTGCCGCAAGCCAAAGTCGTAGCCGGCGCCGATGACAAGGCTCTAATAACATCTGTCGACTGATCGGTGGCTGCAAACGATAAGTCATGTAACATATCTATGTTTATTGGGTCTAGCCTCTGTTCGCTGAAGAGAGAGGGAAAGTGCGAAAGGGGAGTGACTGAGATCCAGAAAGATTGCAAAATACAACTAGAGCATTCTACATGAATGTCAATGCTATTGCTAATGTGTGGAAGGAATTTTTCGAAAATCAGATTTACAGATTGACTGATTGACGGACTGATTGAGTGTGAGAGCTAGGCAAGAAGAGAAGGAGAGATTGAAAGGGATGCCACTGAAGCTAAAAATAGGGATAGAGAGAAAGGTATAGAAAGAAAGTGAATAAAAGAGAGATAAACAGAGTGAAAGAGAGAGAGAAACAATGAAAATAGTTTATAAAGAGTAGAGAAGACAGAAGGAGAGAAGATAGAAGGAGAGATTGTCAGGAGATCCTTCTCCATGATTGCCGTAGGGATAAAATTGTAAAAGGATGATAGTAGAGATAACAAATTACATAGAGACAGAGGAGGAGTGAGAGAGAGAGAGAGAGAGAGAGCAGAGAAAGACAGAGGCAGAGAGAGAGAAGGAAAGCAAGTGAGAGGGACTGAGATAGTGAGAGAGTAAGATGGTGAGACAGAGAGAAATAGAGTTGACAATCAGATGACTTCCTGACTGATTATTAATTATTAATTACAGCCAAGAGAGGAATGATGAACCATTAGGCTAGTGCGAATCGATTGATTATAACAGCACATCGTCCACTATAATAGTATGTGAGGTGAGCAGCAGTTTCCTCTCAATATTTACGTTACTCCTACTATTTTCCTTACATCACTCTAATATTGTTCGTAGTAAGGCATGTCGCACCACTGTGCGCCAGCAGCTCGATTGCATAATTTTAGCGATTAAACACAGTTTGATCTCCTGGCGCACTGTCTCTCTATCTCTCCATCTCTCTCTCTCTTTCCCTGCGCAGCTGTCGATGTGGCTGCTGCTGTCCTCAGGCCTTGTCGCCGTTAGAGAGGCGCATCCTTGATGCGTATGCTCGCTTCATTTGCGAGCTTAGTGAGGAAATCAAGCGTGTGCCTGTTCACAGTGACAGCCCCAGACACAGTCACAGTCACAGTCACGGTCTCAGTCGCAGTCGCAGTCGCAGTCGCAGGCACGGCTTTAGCATGCAAGCAGCGTGTGCTGCGTGGCAACCCACACAGCTTTGCCTTGGGGGCTTGCAACTTCATTGGGGTCAAAGTTGCTCAGTGTCAGGTGAGGCAGGCAACGGCAGATGAGAGCAGTCGACGAGCTGATGTTGCCTGTCGCTTAGCTAGTTTCAAGGATGGATTGTCTATGCGAGTCTATGCGAGTGTCTGTACGTGTGTATGTGTGTGTGTGTGTGGGGCAGACAGAGCTGAAAAATATATGTGCTATGTAAGCGGCCACAAAGTTTATTTATTGATTTTGCTTAAGCCTTAAATTTTAGTTAACACGATTCGTTTTTTTTTTTTTTTTTGTTTACCTGCAGCCTAAACAACAAAACAACTTAATTAATTACACGGCCCGCTAAATGTGCAACACAATAACAACAACAATAACAACAACAACTGTATGATGAACTGCAACAACAAGAGTTGCTAATAAAAGTTTTGGCATAACTTTGATATTGGCTTTTGATGAGGTCATTAAACAGTCAAGCAACAACAACAACAACAACAACAACAACAAAAGCTAAACAGCAGTCAGAGCCAGAGCAAGCAGAGCAGAAAAGTTGAGAGAGAGTATGAGCGAATAATGAATGCCCTTAAAAGGGGTAGAGCACGGGGGCTTTGATATGAGAAGTAAGTGCAGATTGATGATAGTTAATTGTAATTAAAGTTGAGGTTTATTATGAGATTATATACGCTCGAGGTGTAGTCGTTATAACCAAAAGACGCTATAACCCTATAAACTAGCTTATATGAGCTTGTCTGGCGATCAGAATTTTCGTCGGCCATAGCCGTACAGACGCTATAAGCGGAGTCGTTATAACCGGACTCTACTGTACTTAAATACTAAGTATAAGAAACTTTATTCGCATATATATATATACATATATCATATATAAGTTTTTTGCTAGTGTCGATAGACAACACCAAACTTGTGTAATCCTCATATAGAAGTCTTACCTTAATAAAAATTTAATTATCTAAGTAAAAGAATCTTGGTTTACTGTAGAAAGAAAAGCTGGACTAATAAGTGAATATTATAAACTACATATTACAGTTTGGCATTATTCAAATATCCATATCATTGCTCTTAGCATTTCCTAACAGTATTCTATAGGACCCTTCTCCAATACCCTAACTCAACAACTAGAACCAGTAGCCCAGTTCTCTGTGCTGCCAGCCAGAGTTGAAATCTCAGCAATTAAGTGAGAGAAATTTTGCGACACAGCGCCAAAGTTAGCAATGGCTCGCCGATGCAGAAGCTCAACTCTAGCTGCAACTCTGCGCCCCCCTCTCTCGCTCTCGCTCTCTCTCTTTCTCTTTCTCAGACTTACTGCTCCGGCTCACCCTCAGAAAATGTAATCAGACTCAACATTATAATTAACCGCAAATGCAGTTGTGCCCGCGAGTCCTTTGTGTTGAAATGCGAGCCGCCGCCGTTCGGGTTCAGCCGCCGGGCAATATGTTGCCCCAACTTCAAAAAAAAAACCCAGCTTCCCTTGTGGTCAGTTCAGGCTCAGCTGCTATTAAAACTTTTACGACAAGTAGGCGAAAAAATTACTTAATTAAAATGATTGACTAACAGAAAAGTTTGTGCGAAATCATTTTTACTTTTCTTTTTCTCTCTCCATTCACTCGCTCCTTCTCTCTCTCTCACTCGTTTTCTGTGTCTGTCTCTGTCTGTGGCGGATACTCCTAACTAGCAGAAATACTTTTCCGGAACAATAGGTCTTTCCGCTTGCAGCTGTCTCTTTTGCACAGGCCCTCGCGCTCCATCTCTCTCTCTCTGTCTTTCTCTTTCTTTTACTCTTTGGCTCGCGCTTTTTTTTTTGCTGTTTTATTTTTTTATTTTCTTATTGTCTGTCTTTGGCCGCTGGCGCTGAAAATTGTGTAGGAAACAGCGCGAATGGCTCGGGCAAAACCAGGTCTCTAAAGTGGGCGAATGTGGGCGTGGCAGTCGTCCATGGGCTTAGATATCTGGCTCGTCGGCATCTTGTTGTTCATCTGACAAATTAACGAGCGCCTCAAGTGCTGTTGTGCGGATTTTCTCTCTCTCTATCTCACGCTCTCTCTCTCTCTCTCTCTTTCTCACTCTTGCTGTAAAAACTTTGAAGTGTTAATGAATTGCAATGGGTGTGGGCGTGGCATAGAGAGGCTCGTGGCCCGTTCTGCCCGTAGGCAAATACGGTGTAATGACCATTTGGTTTCTGTGGTTAATTTAGCTGCATGTAATTGAAATTATGATTTAATTGAATTTAGCTGCGTTCACAGCAACGAAAGGGGGGGAGGATTACAGTGAAAGGTGGAGGGTGCAGTGGATGGATGGGTGTAATGAGTGTTGCAGGTAATGCGTCTAAGTGCATCTCAACTTCCCATTTTCACGTCGAGCCCTTTCTGCGTCGTTTTAATTGCCTGCTCTTAATTAAGTACTGCATTTAAGCCTGCTTAAAATGCAGCTCAAGTCTTTGCACTCTCGCAACTTTAAATTTAGTATCTATATTTTCGCCCATTAGCTCAAACTAATTACAGAATTTAAATAGCAAATCTTGCTCGGGGGCCACTAAGTATAAAGTTTCAACTTTTACTTAAGCCAATCGTCGGTTGAAAATCTATTTTGAGTATATTTACTTCTTGTTTATATTTATAAAATGTATGTATAGTTTATGTCTAAAAAAAACTATATTTATTGGCAGACTATAATTATTAAAGGCTTAAAAAATTATAATATATTAATGAATACCCTTAACTGTATGTGAAGAGACTAATAAATATTTCGCAGACTTGAATATTATTATTATCTTATTATATATTATATTATATTATAATATTATTCTGTTGATTTTTCCTTTTATGTAAGAATAATAACAAATTAGTATTTCAAGTATTATTTATAAGGAATACCCTGAATATTATGCCAATGTTCATCAAAATTGCTTTCGATTTAAAACTAATTTATATCGACTCGCAATATAAGCTTTGACTATTTTCAAGGGAATACCCTTACTTTTGTGGTACATTATTTACCAGATTGTTGGGCATACCCCTAATGTGCTGTCATTTCCTGTGCATTAAAATTAATTTCTATTCAAATTCCATTTATATCGACTCTCAACTTACGCTTTGACTACTTTCAAGGGAATACCCCTACTGACACACATTTCGCAGCTCGTTAAAGTGCACATCAGTTGTGGGCGGAGCCGAAAACCCACTGATTTCCTAATGAATGCTACGTGCTTCAAGCGGGACTTGGTAAAAGGTGATGACGATGTTGCTGGGAAAACAATTGAAGTGTGATTATGCGATAGAATTTAATAATTCATTGCAATTATGTGTTTTAGGCGTGATTACAAATCGCTACAAGACTAATAATCCGTTCAAATGAGCAATTAACAATTAATTAGATGGCAAGTACTTCTGACACTCTGCATCTGTGTGTGTGTGTGTGTGTAGAAACCACACTCTTAAGCACACACCCACACACATGTGCATAATTGATGAGGAAGAGAGAGAGAGAGAGAGGGAGAGAATCTTGGCTTGCTTTTTGGAAACTGTGCGCAGCCACAAACCAATTAAATATTTGATTTCAACATTTTGCTTAACCCCCACGCTCGAGCCCTTAAGAAAACAGCTAATGGAGTGGAACAGACAGCCAACTGGAAAGAG